ACATTTCCACCTCTATAATGTCCTTTTCTGAAAGATGCTTCCGTTTCCAAAGGTGCTTGGTATCTGTTTTGTTCTGATTATCTGTCTTCTTAGTTCCTCAATCTGATAAGATCTCCCGGTGATGAAACATGGATGGAATTGTCCTCAAACACCCAGCAAATTGTCTTCAATACTGACAGCTGGTTTTTCTTCCCTAATAAAGTCCCTCCCTCCACTGACAGGCAGTTAAATGTGATCCTTAATGAAACAAATTGAGTAAACTGGGATGCTCCTATTGCTCAGTTTGGTTGACAGCAGACTCCCATAATCTAGTCTTTAACATTCTTTACTTCTGTAATCAACTTCTCCAAGTGCTGCTTGGTTTTGCTTTGTGCTTCTGCCACAAGACAGCCAAAGCCAATTACACCAGCTTCTAGTGTGTTTCTTCCTATCTAATCCTTGTGTTTTATACAGTCACAGATTGAAAAAACTGGTCCCTTGAGAAGAAAATTGTACCTGCAAGACAAGTATCGTGCCAAATCACCAAGTCTGATGCTCAGCCAGCCCTCTGAAAGTTTAGGAACACATTCTTCTTTGTTTCTGGGAAACAGGCTTCATGAACTTTCATCTCATGTCACTGTCTGAAGAACTTTCATTGAGATCCTTCCTGCCTCCAGCTTTGGCACAAATCCTCCAATACAACAAGGTACTACTTGCACTCAATCCCACTGCTCCACTGATCACCCCAATGAACTTTCCTCAAGCATAAACATTTGGGAACCTTTAGCCACACTCAATTTCTACATGGGGAAAAGAATGAGGGAAGAAGAAGAAAACGCATTTTCTTCCACTTCTGTTTTGTGGACTGAAAAAAAACCTGAACCTGGATTTCCTGAGCATTCTTAACTCAGTCCCAAGATCTTCCTGGCAAAAGTTTTTATGGCAATTTGAGTTCCCATGGAACCTGCTTCACCTGATCACTTTTAAGGCAAGTAGCTGTAAGTTTCTCCTCTTTCCCATCCTCATTGCCTTCCACTTCTGACCCAATTGATAAAAGCTATGATTGATATTGCTCCCGAACAAGATGCTACTTACAAGACTATCCTACCACTAAAGTGAAAGTTTGCATCTTTCTCCTCTCTCCTTTCCTCCTGATGGAAAAAGTCTGTAATCTTATTAACTGCAACAGCTGTAAATAGTTGCTGTTCCAAAGCAATCCCACACAGCCTGGGATGGCCCTGACTCCTTTTAACTTTGAGTTCCAAGAACAAGCATTCTCACCCAAAGTTGGTAAATCCTCCTGTTCTTTAGCTCAACATATTCAAATGAACTAGTTCCTTTAAATTAAATCTTTTTGATACAGGGTTTATCAAATCTCCTTGAGCCACAGTCTCCTACATCCCCTCCCCAACTGCCAATGGTCTTTTCACCCATGTTTTGAGATTTCCACATTCTTCTTTCCTGGATCGTGTCCTGAGTTATTCATCTTAATAGTTCCCCCAGACTCAGCCTGGAACCTCCCTTTAAGTCACTTGCTCAGTCATCTAATCATACCCTTAATCCTTCCTGGCAGATCTAACCCCAACCAGCTACCCAGGCAGAGAGAGAGGAGGAAGCCCTGCCCTACCTATTACATGTTACTCGTCCCATGCCCTTATAAAAATAATGCCACAGCATTCCTAGATCATCTTTCCTGATAGTAACTGTTCCCCCAACCACCTTTTTTTCCCCCCTGATGACTGCTGAGACTGAGTTTTTTTCCTTTCTACCTCTCCTGTCTACCCCTCTACCTTAAAGTTTATGGCTTTCTAAATTATCTCCTTGGTGAACATATGATCACTGTGGATTTTAGGCTTTCATGAAAAGGGTCTAAAAAGACAGTCAAGGAAGGAGAGAAACAAAACTAGTATTTCAACAAATTAGCATGCAAAAAGATATTAAGCTAAGGCTGAAAATGTATTTGATAATACAAATGGGGGAAAAGTCACAGAATACTGTTATTACTCCCAAATGCAAGATTTAAAAGCAAAACCAAAAAAAAAAAAAACTCAAACAAAACCACAAGAAAACTTGCTTTAGATAGAACACTTAATGCTAAAAAAATTGTGACATCATTCAAACAAAATCCAGTTATGCTTATCATATACTCAGTCTTTTTGGTTGTGGTTTGTTTTTTTTTTTTTTTTCGTCAGAAAAGGTCAGTTGCTTTTTAAATAGCACAAAGCAGGGGAGGAACAAACTTTTATGGCACAAAAATAAAGCAGCACAAGACTCAGTGGGGCATCCTGGCACAGTTCTACACGAGTCCCATCACAGGAGCCTAGGGAAGCATTAGAAAACACCTGCTGGCAGGACAATCCTGCTGGATCCTGCTGAAAACCCAGCTAAAGTCAGAACTTGGGTGTCCAATAACAAAGGGAAGCAAGAACAGGAAAGAATAAGCAAATTTGGTTTTACATGAATGAGAAATCTTTGTGTAGGAGTAGTAGTGGGAATAAAATTTCTTCACATTTTATTGTGTAATTTTGCTGTGTAGTAGTGTTTCAGTATGATTTATTGTGTAACGCTATTGCATGGCATCATTGGTTGAGCAACTTTGCTGCGTGGTATAGTTTTTTTATTTAATGATATTGAACATTAGGCAATGGTCTTGCGTGCCATAATTTGTGTGTTCTGTTGAGCAACATCACTGCCATAGCTCTTGACACAAAGGTGAATTGCATGAATTCATGTAACAGTGCTGAATTCATGGTTTTAACATAGATTCCCTCAGAGAAGTCAAATGGAGACTATTAATTTTTTCCTGAATGAAAACAGGTGCAGAAAAGCAGCAGTGAAGACATTTAAGCAGAACTTAGGGCATTAAGATATGGTTTAATTAATAGCAATGCAGTATTGCCTCATAAAGGCCACTTTCTCATCCAGAGCTACCTTGTAACTACATTGAGTGATGTTACATGTTTCCTGTATCCATGCTTGACTGTGAAAAAACTAAAGGATAACCTTGTTTTACACACTATTGGGCAGAAAGGAGAATAGTAACGTGCTTTTGATGGCTCCATCCAAAAGCATCCTTGCAGGGATCCGCGGAAATCCAGAACCTGAACGAGAAACTCTCCACCCCTTATGCAAAACGCAACCGATGGACTTCACTACAGAGGAATCCTGTTCTAACAGCAGCACTACTGAACTCAGAGCCACAATTTAAAACTCTTGAAGTAATAAAACTCTTAAGCATATTTTAGATGCGACCACAGTGTCATGCTACTACTGCTTTAGATTCTCCAAAGAAGCACGAGGAAGCAATAAAAGTTTGCTCTAGGTGTAGTATTAATGTAAGTTACTCATCTTGACATCCCTTACATAAACTTGCCTTTTCACCCCTTTTTTTCCCCCCCCCCTCTGATCATTTTTCTTACTACATACATGGTCCAAACTTAAATAACACGTTTGAAGTTCAGGAAGCCTATCAGAACCTTAAGTCTTTTTCCAAAGAAATGAAGTAATCCATAAGGATATCAACTTCGTACCCACATCTATTTTTATATCCATCTGAAACTGCTATTAATTGGCTAAGAACAGCATCTCTTTCATGCATTACCTGGCAGTCTACAAACAGCTGTATGTTGCAAGAGGCAGAGAAGAAGAGCAAACACTGGTAGATTACAATGCAGTGCTGCTGCAAGCGTTTTTATTTGATCTCATATTCTGGCAGCTTTTAAATACAGAAGAAAAAAAACCACACATGCAGGCTTAATTTTTAAAATATGGCAAACTCCAGATGATAGGCTGGGAAGGCAATTTGTGGGGGGGAAAAAAAAAAAGAAAAAGTGAGCTCCCTCCGTCTATAACATAAGATTAATTTATTATCTGACAGATGGCAGCAGGGAGGGGGGTGGAAAAGACAAGACTGCTGATGCAGTAGCGAGCTTCCCATCTGTAACGAAGGCCCTGCAAATTCTCACTTATCGCAAAATTCCCCCCCCAGCCCCATTCACCTCCAGAGTTCTGCCCCGTGCACTTCTAGGTTTAAAAATCAAAATAGCCTAGACCTCATCCCTGTGTGGACAACTGAAAAAACACAAATAAAGAAATAAAAACGAAGAAAACATCCAGAGAAGTGATTCTTCTGCCAACTTGCTCAAGCCTACTCCTGATAGCACCTACGAAAGCTGTGACTCGACCCTGCTGCTGGTCCTTTGGCCACCAAGAGCCAGCCGTTCATGCTGACCATCGCATCCAGGGCCACCGGTCACCGTCATGAGGGCTGTCCCAGCACCGAGAGCTGTTTTGCCCATTTCTTCATATTCCCAGACATTATTTTTTTTCCCCCTTTTCCTTCAGGCATCTTCCATGCTGTGGTCCAGTGGGTGCCGAAACAAAAAAAAACATAAAAAACACCAAAAAAACCCCGGAGCACATGGAAAACGGGGGAAAAAGAGCAGAAAAACAGGAGAAATCACCACCACCCCCCCAAAAAAAACCGAAAAAAAAGCGCACTTAATGCAAAAGGAAAAGCTTCTGGTAACGATGGTCTCCTCCTTAGTTTGTCCAGCTCCCCACTGCACCAGAAGGCACCGGAGCCCCGCTAAGGGATTCCCGGGGGGTCCTCCCTTACCGCCAGCACCGGGTCCCCGCCACGGGGAACCCCAAGGCGAGGGGGAAACCCCCCCGGAACGGCGGCTGCGGGGAGCGGGTTTTGCGGCGCCCCGCACACAGGACACGTCGGGAATGCCCCGCGCCGTTACACGGGCTGACGGCAGGTGCTAAACGAACAAAGCAGCCCCGGAGGAGGAGAAAAGGACGCGAAGGGGCCTGGACCCCCCCTGTGTGTATCCCCCCCCCTCAAAGCAGGCCGCGGCCCAGGCCCGCCCGCCGCCCCTCAGCCTGCCCCCCGGCCGCGCGCCGCCGTCTCCCGGGAGACGGAGCCATTTTGAAGCGCTGCGCCCTCAGTGACAGCGGGCGGGGGGTGGGGGGGAGATGATGCCGGGCGCTGCGATGGCCGCCCCTGTCGCGTTTACCTCGGATGCTCCAGGTCCAGCGGTAGAACTCGAGGGTGTCGTTGACCACGCTGGACACCAGGCCCAAAGGGCGGGGGGGCTCGGCGGCGGCGGCAGCCATGGTGAGCAGCAGCAGCAGCGGCGGAGCCGGCAGACCTGTGTCTCGGGGCGTGCGTCCAGTGCCTCTGCGCCGGGGCTGCTGCTGCTGCCGCCCTTCTACAGCCGGGGATGTGATTTAAATCTCTATCTCTCGGTATCTTCCCTCCAGACTCCGCCTCGCTCCCCGTCACCGGCTCCCGTGCCCGGCGGGCAGGGAGGAGGGCGCGGAGGCGGGATGGAGGGATGGAGGAAGGGAGCGGGGAAAAGGGGAGGGGGGGGAAGAAGCGGCGGTGGCGGCTCCGCGGTGCGGGGCGCTTGGCGTCACGTGACCCCCGGGGCTGGCTGCCCGGTGCGGGGGGGGGGCGGCGGAACGGACCCGCACTCAGCCCCGGCCGCGCAGGCGCAGTGCGGTACGGCCCCCCCCCGCTGCTCTGAGGGGAGCGCGGCTCCGGCAGGTGCGGGGAGGCCCCTTCTCCTCCCCTTCAGAGGCCGTGCGTTACCTCAGCTCGGCTTTTATTGTCAAATAGGTTGGGTGTCGCCGGTCGGGGGAATAAATGTTTCAATCGGCTGCTTTTATTGCCTTTCTTCCTGAGGGTTTTCATCTCCTTCCCCTCTGGCTCTGCCCTGAGGGACCGGCCTGAGCGGCGCCCACTGGAGTCATGGAATCACGGAACGGTTTGGGTTGGAAGGGACCTTAAAGATCATTGAGTTCCAACCCCCCTGCCCTGGGCAGGGACACCTCCCACCAGACCAGGTTGCTCCAAGCCCCATCCAGCCTGGCCTTGAACCCCTCCAGGGATGGGGTAGCCACAGCTTCTCTGGGCAACCTGGGCCAGGCTCTCACCCCCCTCACAGCAAAGAATTTCTTCCTAATATCTCATCTAAATCTCCCTTCTTTCAGTTTAAAACTGTTACCCCTCTTCCTATTGCTCCACTTGCTAATCAAGACTCCTCTCCATCTCTCCTGGAGCCCCTTTAGGGACTGGACCTCAAGCTGTCAGTACCGAGGTGTGGGCTTTGCAGCTGACCCTGCCACAAGAAGCCACTGCCACCGTCCCTTCCCCTCCCAGTGCTGATCACACCAGCAATGGCAACGGGATCTCACCATCTTCCTGCCCCACTGGTGGCATTTCCCTGACCAGCAACTTGGCCAACCTCCTCCCGGTGCCACCAAGGTACATTTGGTACACTTTTCCCCTCCATCTCCTGGACCAAAGCCTTTATGGTCGCTCCATGGTGCAGAGTTGTTTGCCCACCATCGCTGGGGTCTGCAGGGGAAGGAGCCACCATGGCGAAGGCTGGCAGGGCCATGGGTGCAGTCCTGGTTTATCCATTTCTGCACCCTACGTTTCAACCCCGATGAACCCTCTGCCTGCTGTGGGTGCACCAGCTGCTCCTCACACCCTTTGCCTCTTATCTCCTCCTGTCTCTCTGCCCTCCCTCTCCCACCACCCGCGTGGTGTGGATGGATGGCTCCACGACACCCTTTGGGTTCGGTTTCCCCACCGAGGGACAGGAGGGGAGCTGCTCCACCCGAGTTGCCGGCTTTCCTCCTGGCAGACAGCAGATCAGATGGTATCTACCTCTCCCTCCCCTAGTGCACCGGCACCCAGTGTCACTCCTTGTCACTTGGTGGTGGTGAGAGCAGCTCGCACTCCTCCTCCTGGCTGAGTCACCCTCCGTGGAGCTCCTGGACCGCCCCGGCTGCTACGATCCCAGCCCCATGGATGGGAGAGTCACGCTGGCCATCGCCGCTGCGCCCAGAGCTTGGAAACCAGCAGGCTTTTGGGAGAAGGGATGACCTGCACCAGGAACAAGAGGAGCAATGTCAACCCAGGGAAGTCCAGCTTATCCCAGCGCTGCCTGAAAGTTGGAGCTGAAGCAAGGTTTCCACAGGCTGATGCATGGAGAACTGCTACTTCTCTGGCGTGAGAAGAGCCATCAAAAGCTCCGCATGAACTGCACTGACTTGAATTACATTTTATTTTGATGGCAGGAGGTCCGGTGGGAGCTCTGGAATGGATCTGTCACTGGGTGGTAGGGCACAGTCAACACCAACCTGCTGGTGGACAGCGTGGTGTTACCTGTGGTTCCTGTGCCTCCTTCAGGTGAAACCACCGCAGTGGATCGTTGGTCCGTTAGAAACCTGACGCATGGTTGGCATTGTCTACCTTTGCCAGGGCTTTTCTTAACGTTATCATTTAAACCAGAAGAATGAGTCATAATCCTCAGATTGGTCTATGGCCACTTGCCTTGGCCACATGTTTGAACCCGAATGGGCTACTGAATGAATCAACGTGACAAAGGATTGCACTCCTCTGCCGTCCCTGATGGCAGGCAAGGTGTTCCACCACCACAAGGAATAAAGAGCCACAGACAACCAAGAACAAAAAGGAACAAGACCTATTAGCACTATTAATACATATTCCTCATAATAATTATTTATATTCTAGCCTAGATGTGTTTACTTCTTTATTAAAATGATTATTTATTTATTCTGTGGCAGTCTTTTTTGCACAATTGACACCAATAATTATTGTTTATGAAACATTTATATGATCCAGCTTACTGTTTCATCCGTTTCAGATTAGATAACTTTCCTTGATTGCAATTAATTCCTTTATATTGGCAATATGATTGTACACAGATAATTTTACAGAGCAATTAAGCCTTGAGAAGAGCCGCAGCGGAGCTGCAGAGCTCGGCGAACAGGGAGAAGATGAACAATCTGACCGCGGTAACTTCTGTTGGGCTTTGACATGGGGCTTTAAAAAAAATGGGATGGAGTTTAGGACAAACCACTCTCCTTAGTTTAACTTCCAGCCTGCAGGCATGCTGGCCTGCTTTGAAAATTAGGTCTGTGTCTGAGGGCTTCCAAGCGCATCCCAGCTGGTTCCTGCACCCCGCAGGGTGTTTCCTCAGGTTCTGGGAAAGCTGAGACCCATGTCTTCTGCTTAAAGAGAGCAGGAGGAGAAAGGCATCCAAAGGCCATCGAAGCAGCGTGGTAGTCAGAAAAAGATTATTTTAAATGCCATTAATTAGCCAGTGTTGTCATCTTCTACTCGGTAATCTACATGTTCTTTAAAACCTGGGCATCTCAGGTGGGCAAATTCCAGCTGGGAGAAGGCAGGTCCACGGCAGGTGACCCCAGAGGAACCCAGGCTGTTTGTCCAGCAACAGAATTCCAGCAAAGTCCAGTGCTTGTGCCGGCAGCAGACAGGGCTGTGTGCTGCAGGAAAGGTGCAGAAGGGCACAGGGAGCTGTGGCACAGCTTGCCCCTACTCCCAGTTCCCATCCGAGACACAAACTCTTTCTATTCCTTCCAGGCCTTTTTTGTAAAAAAAAAACCCAACGAGATACCTCATTTCAGGAGTGTTCCAAGTCCTTTGCTGCTGCTTCACGACACAAATAAATAGCTGTAGGAATGTTACAAAGCCCACATGACCGGTGTGTTTGGTGATGCACATGAAAAAGCATTTATTCCTGAATTTCAGGGAAGCATATTCTACTGTAATGTTTGATGAATGAGCAGATGCTTCTGCGCTAATTGTTCTGCGGCAGGTTAGCAATGAGATTGTTGCAAGGGGAAGGTGAAATGCAATATTTGTTGAACAATATTTTGGAAGCGCAGTAGGAAGAAAGCAGATCACTGCCACCAGTGATCCCCCCCAAAAGACAAAGCCAGCAGTGAAACAACTTTGCCTTCTCTTTGCTACAAAGAGAATCACAACAACCAGGAACTTGCCTGGAGGGAAACCACAAAAGTGCTCAAATCAATGCATTTGACAGAAAATCTAAATGTTACACCATGTAGTAAAGGACAACCCGTTCACGTACCAGTAAAGAATGCAAACAAAGTATTATATGCCTTAAGCATGACCAAATTTAAATTGTTCAAAAGACTTCAGAAGTGTGTTTTGATTGCTTTAACTACTGAACTAGCATTTTTTTTTTCATTTGCTTCCGTCGATGCTTTAAGAGGGAAGATGATGAAATAAATTAGCACATCAATCTGCAGTACGTGGAATTTTCTTGCCCAGCCCATCAAATTTATGTGCCCCTTGCGCTGTGACTTTCTCACTGATATGGCCTGTAAAGACCATGGCCTGTGCCAAAAAAGCTTGTCTCATCTTTGAACTAACAAGTGCGGGCTCCAGTGGTGAAACTGCTATCACCTGCTTCAGTGGTTTAAGGCAGCTTTATACCAAACATTCTTGAAAGAGGCCATTTTAAAATGACCATATTTTTTTAAAAAATAATCACATTTAAACCAACAATGCGTCTTTCAGCACGAATTCATTTTTTTAGGGTTTATTGTGTAACCTGTTGTTAACTCCATAATTTGAGGTGGGGTAACTCCGGCGCACAGGGATTACATGGCTTTTGCATGGGGAGCCTTTGGTAGGACCTGAAACAGAGCCAGCCCTTTTGTCTTCTAAACCGTCTGCTAAATGACACCCGTCCTTTCAGACATTCAGCTGCATCAAAGCAGCTTTTCCCCAAACCACATAAGTTGGAATGATGCATCAGAAAATATCCAGAGATGTTAATACTCGGCGCAGGCTTTGCCCAAATCTTACCTTTGATGGAAATTCCCACTAGGTTCCACCTTGCTTGCGTCTGCCAGCGCCAGCCCCGAGTTTGACTTCTGGTCTGTATCAGCTTCAAAACTTCATGTTTTGGACACCAGCCATTTTTGCTGTGGCTCTGCCTCAAATATCAGAATTATAATATGTTTAATAACCTGGATTAGATGCTCAAGGGCCAGATCCAACAGAAGGAATTCCTAGTGAAGTAAACACAACTTTTGTTTCCACAGGGCTCTAAATATTTATTGATTTACTTTATCTTTCTGCCCCAAAAATTGTTCCTGAGAAGGAGACCAGGGAAGCTGGGGACAGCTTTCTCCCAAGCTACGCCGGGTTTTACTCCTAAGTAAATATAAGTGCATAAAATCATAGAATGGTTTGGGTTGGAAGGGATCTTAAAGATCATCTAGTTCCAACCCCCCTGCCCTGGGCAGGGACACCTCCCACCAGACCAGGTTGCTCCAAGCCCCATCCAGCCTGGCGTTGAACCCCTCCAGGGATGGGGCAGCCACAGCTTCTCTGGGCAACCTGGGCCAGGCTCTCACCACCCTCACTGTAAAGAATTTCTTTCTAGTATCTAATCTAAATCTCCCCTCTTCCTGTTTAAAACCATTACCCCTTGTCCTGTCACTGCACTTCCTGACAAAGAGTCCCTCTCCAGCTCTCCTGTAGGCTCCAGTTTGACTCCATGATGTTTACAAGCTTTAAACTCTTGAACTAGCCCCATT